TATATGTTTTGAGTGGTGCAATTGTAATAATGTTACTGATTCTATTCCAAATACCGATATTTCTGACATTTTCAGCAGTTTTCGGAACTTTCTAATCTTCGTATGAGTACGAGTTCGTGTCCTTAACTTTCTTATGCGTTCTCCCTTTTGCTATGCCTTTTTACAGAAATAATTGAAGAAAAAAATTCAGATCGAAAAAAATACCAACTTTAGAAAATTTTCATTTTTTTCATCTTTCAATTTACATAGTGTTCTTGACTGAAGTTGTGAAATTAAAGTTTAAGTATGAATTTTTTTGCAGACTATCTCGCGGACCCCCCATAAAAATGGAGGTAAATTATCAGAAAACAGTAGAGCATATATCATCTTATCTCAACGAGTAACAAACGACTTACGTTGAAAAATCTTTTTTTATTTCGTCCAATATTTGTTTTATTTCTTGTTCTTTTAAATCGATCATTTCTTCGTCATTATCGCTATGATGACTGTGATTTTTTAACCGTAATATTAATGTTGGAAGTTTTTGATGTATCTTATTTTTGATCAATGTTAATGTTTGCTATAATGAAAAGAAAAAAAAAGAAAATAACACAAGGTTTCTCTGTTTCTTTGGAATTTTTTCTTTTGACTCAGAAGAATATTTGACCTAGTGTAAGAAACAATGGCTGGATGAATTGTTCTAACTGTATTTAATCCTTCGACTCACTCTCACAGCTCTTTTCTTAAGTTAACTTTAAATAAATACTACCGCTAGTTATAAACAAAGAATGAGCAATTTGCTTTACCGTTGCACCATCTGTCAATTCCGAATGAAACTTTTGACCAGCTCCTTTTGAATGTTTTTCTTTTGTCTTTGACTTTCTCACATCCTGCAATAAAAACGATACTGAATATCTGTAGAATTTATTCAAACAATTAGAACTTTTACTGCATTATCAAATCCACCATCATCACCATCTAAATCATTTTTAACATCATGAAATGTTTCATTATCTTCGGTTGAACTATCTTTTTGATTTAACTAAAAATTCAACAATTTATAGTGGTCTTTACTTAGATTGTTATCTAAAGCAATAACATACATTTAGATTCCTTGTCATTGATTGATAATGCTAAAGTTGTTTGTTTTTTAAAATATCTGAAATTTAGACAGACATATAAACTAATGAATAATATTCCATGAAACAAAAGTCGAAATCAAAATTTTAAATAAAAGAATGTATTTTATTCTGAATTACCAATTACAATTACAATTAAAAAACACAAATGTTATTAAAACAGTAACTATAAATTTAAGGACGACGTTGATATTGTTCCATTAGTGGTTTAATAACCATATCATACAATTTAATAATTGCGTCAACTATTTTTGGTAGATTTTCAGCAAGCCATATTATAACTTGTTTAATTACATCAACAATTTTAGTTAATAAATTATCTAGTGTTTCTTTCATTTTATTTATTGATCTATTAGATTCTGTTAAAAATTCTTTATATTTTTGTCGTTTATTTTCATAATCAGGATCATTTTGTCCTTGTATTGGACGATGTTGTGTTATTGAATTATTAACATTATTTAATTGTTGTGTTATATCTTGACGAAAATTATTTATTCGTAAATGTAATTCAGCTTCTAATTGTTCTGGTGGATCATCAACATGTTCTTTTGTATAGATTTCAATATCCGATGTATATCTTTTTGCTTGATTTACAACCTCATCTAGTTGTTTCTGAAATTGGTTGTTTGGATCGACCATCTTGATGAGAAGAAAAAAGTAGCATCAGTAAAAATGCCTTTTTGTGAGTATCGAATATTTTTTCTCAAATGAAGTGAAGTCTACGATTTTGCAATGTAGCACATCGATCGAAGTAGAGCGAATGCCAAAAGATTTAGGAAAATGTAAGAAGTATCTTTGGAAATTTTTCAAGTTACACAAGAAAACGATTTTCAAAGTTTTGGGTGAGGGTAAGACTTTCTTTTTCGGTAGTACAAAGTTTACCGATGTATGCTGCTCTTTTTTTAAGATTTTAGTCCATAAAGAAAACGAATTGATTCGAATAGCAACCAAAATAACAGCAGAAAACTGTCTCAGCAAGCCAATTCAAATGAAGTCCCCCGCTCGCCAGTCGCTTGTCCACGCAACGCGACACTTCGCTGATTAAGTTTTTAAAAAATGTTTTTCATCGGAGAACTGGTATGAGGCCCTCGCTAGATGCAGTTTTTCCAATACGAATATGTCCTTTTTAAAAAATAATAATAAAAAGCTGAATGCAAGAATTTAATTTTTAAATTTTTAAAAACTTTCACCTAGTCAGTTTCATGAAAAAACTGAAAAATATACCATTCGATAAAGAATTAAAGTCTCTACAAAATGGCACATTTTTTTAGAAGTTCTGACATAAAGAACGGATTTTATAAGGTTAAAGTGTAGAGTTTAAAAGTTTAGTATAATTTTTTCAAGTTTATTTTAAAATGGGTTGATAACCCATGTCTAGAACTCAGATGGACGTAAAAATCAAGTTCGTTTTAGGACCTTCCTTACCTTACGTGTCTCAAAACTCTGTGAGAGAAAACTGAGTCACAGCGTTACTTTACAAAATGGAATTTCCGAGGCGTGCGGAAGAGTTTGAAAAAAAGTTCTTTTACGAAAAGAAAGCAAGATTGGCTCCTCTATAAAGCTGTCTCTAGAAACTTTCTAGATGCACAGTTCAATTCGCAAAAAATCAGAGCTGTATCAGGAGTTTCAAAAAATAGAAACCTTTTCTGTCACAGCGTTATTTGACGAAAAGTCTTTCTGGAAGCTGGAGTCTTGAATCAAAAATCGTCATTTTTATATCATAAGTAGAGTTTGGTGAGCTGCGTCGAATGGTACGAGAACGAACTTTCTTGCTGATATGCTTTTCAAGAAAAATTTAAATTACTTGTGTCAGTAATGTCACGGCACTACCTTTGGACAAAGCCGTAAGATAAGTTTGATGACAGATAGATTTTAAAAGAACTAAGATCAACGTTTGGAAAATCTTCCTCACTTCATTTTCGACTGCTGCCAAATAGAAATCCTATTTAAAACTTACAGTTCGAAATGGTGACCGTGTTCAAGTTCAAGATTTCTTTTAAATATGATATAACAATATATATATATATACATATAGTTGAAGGTGACACAATATAATTTTTATATTTGTTCGTTATGTGGCAGTGTCGGTATAATGTAGTTTGTATTTATTTATTTGTGGGTTTTTTATTTAATACCCACAGAAGGTAAGAAAGAGCAAAGAAAAAACCAACATAAATATTGAATTAAATTTTTATTTTCTCTTCATAATATTGCTATTTTCCAGTTATTGACTTTCCATTTTGTAATTCATTTGCTAAATATGTTGTAATATTTCTATGGTTACATAACAGAACAAAACATAATAATGTAACAATACATGATTAGATGATTATGGGTCGTAAGACGCAAAAAGCGTTAATTTTCTTCTTTCGTCTCTTGTGACCTATACATATAGAGTTTAGGTCACGGATGATGATAAAAGTAAAGAAAAGACAAAACATAACGTGCGACCTTAGGGAAAATGTTTTTCTTACCGTACGAAACGAAGAAGCTACGTATAGTACATGTAAGTGAATCATTCTCAACATACTGTAAAATTTCTCTCTTTCTGTTCACTTTATATTATTTCATTTCTTTAGCATAGTCATTTGTTCTATAAAATACTTAACGTTAATTTGTTTCTTGCGTTAAGAATCTTATATTTCGTTTAGGAATAGTTTTACGCTCCCACCCCCAAACTAATTTTTAATTACATGGTTGGATAGAGGATGATGAATTGTCGAAGTCACCGACCATGTGACTAGAGGTTAGTTTGCGTGTGTGTGAACGGATTATGGCTGGGAGTGGATGGGGTGGAGTGTGGTTTACGAATATCTGCCAACCACCCTGTACTCCAACAAAGCTAAGACAAACAAAAATATGGGTGGGCGTGACGACAACTCGGCATCCTCTATCCAACCATGTAATTATAAATTAGTTTGGGGGTGGAAGCGTAGTTTACAAATACCCTTCGTTTAGACGTTACGCTGCCATTTTGTTCGATTGAAGAACATTTTTGAAGCTTTTTAAGACTTAAGGTCTTCGTTACAACCTTATCATAACTTCCGAATAAATAGTTCTGAGCAAAAACACTTTTTTTAAAAATTTTAGTCCGCGGTTGCATGTTTGAGCCAAACGGAAAGCTTTTGAAAACATTCTTTGCTCAAAAATCCCTGCAATATACATCGTTCAATTCGGTTTTCACGCGGATTCCTAATATCACCTCGCTTCTGTTTCAAGCTCACAATTTACTGGTGGAAAAATCGAAATTATTCATGCAACTTTTCCAATTTCTTGCTACCGGCTACATTTGGTGTCTGAGTTTCTTCATGAAGCTGCTATTGGTAACGTTGTAAATTGCTCTATCTTATACAGACTTATGCGCTCTACTAAATGCTACACATACTTCTATGTATAATTGAACCATACATTATTTTCCCAAAAGATTAATCAGAAAGTGCCCGTTGACGGGCCCAGTCGTACTTGTCTATTACTTTACTCTATCGATCCATCATATATGGGGACTTGGCAAATCCGGACCTTCAAGTGATGTACCGTACGGATGAAACAATATGAGGTCACTGCTAGGCCTGTGACAGTTCATAGTTTCTTGTACTGCAGTTTCTCGATAACGGGAACTGTTTTTCAGTTGCCGTTCAATAAACGGGAACGGTTCAGCAGTTCACGTTTCTAGGAACTAGGAACGGTTCACCAGTTCTGGTTTCGCGAACGGGAACTACAGTTCTTTTTGAACGGGAAACTGCTCAGTGTCCTTCACTGATCACTAATGTCGAAATAATAAAATTTGAATTTGAATTATTTTTGTGTAAAACTTAACTAACGAGTAAGCAGGGCTGGCCCAATGTAGCCAATATTGGCGAG